CACTCCCCCCACCCCCTGCTCCCCAGCCCTGTCCATACCCCCCCTGCCTCCAGCTCCAGCCGGCTGCCTCCCGCAACTGGGGAGGGGGGGGGGCCCCCCTCCATCCCCCCCCTGCCTCCAGCTCCAGCCGGCTGCCTCCAGCAACTGGGGAGGGGGAGGGTCCCACTGGTCCCCTGCCCTCTGCCCAAGCCTCTGCTGCTGCTGTCAGTCCCCCTGCAAACACACGCACATGCACATGCACACGCACACGCACGCATTGCAAACATGCAAAGTGTGCACACACACACACACGGCACTTTCATAGCGTCACATATGACACATGCACACACGTGTACATACATACACAACCCCCATAATGCACATGCATGCATGCACACGTTCCTCCATATGCACACATGATGCATACATACATTTGCATGTGTGATGCATGCACATCTTTGCATGCATATATGCACTTTCATGCATACACAATGCACGTGCATACACTTGCATAAAGTGCACACACATGTCCTTTCACACCCACACCTGTGATGCAAGTACACACACATACGTTCATGCCTACACACGGTGCACACATAGGCACAGACATATGCACAGGTGCTTTCATACACACATGATTTAAGTACACAGACATGCATGCACACGCTTGATGCGTGCACACTTGCATTTTCCTGCCTACATATGATGCATGCTCACATACGCAGACATACACATACACACACATTCAATGCATGCACACCCACATGAATGCCCACTTTCAATGTGTACACATGTACTTTCCTGCCTATACATGATGCGCGCGCACACATACTCAGACATGCCTGCATACACTCGATGCACACACACACACATGCTTTCCTGCCTACACGATGCGCGCACATACATACTCAGATGTGTCCACACACACACACGATACATGAACACATATACTTGATGCATGAACACACACACACACACATATGCCTCCCTGCCTACATACGATGCACACACATAGAAACAGACATGCCCACAGACACTCGATGCATGCACACAGACACATGCTTTCTTCCCTGCACACAATGCATATGTACATAGGGAGCCATGCACGCACACACTTGATGCATGCACACACACACTTTCATGCATACACACAATGCACACCCACATGATGACACACACCCATGCATGCAATGCGCGCGCGCACACACACACACGCACACACACACTTTTCCACAGGTATCCCCCAGCTGCCCACACACACACGTGCTGCACGCAGCCCCCGCCCCCCCCGTGTGTGCGCCGGCCGGCTCTGCGGTGCGGGACTGCCTCATACATATTTCATGCTCTGCATTTCACTCCTCACCTTGGCTGTTCCTTGCAGCCGTCGCCGCCTGCTATTTACCTTGCTGCAACTCCTGCTGCCAAGGTGCTTGCTCCCTGGGGGAGCACAAGGCCTATGGGGGTCCTGCTGCCCCCCTCCCAGCTCCCAGGACACCCCCCCTGGCTTTCCCAAGTCCCCCTGTGCCTCCCCCTACCATCCCCTGGGAGCCGCAAGGTGAGACCCCCCCCCTTTATCTCCCACCCGGCACCTTCCAAGGCCATAAAAAATTCATGCCCTGGATTTTGTTTACAAATATGAATAAACCCTGATGAATTATAAATGCCGGTGGCTGCCGTGCACACCGGTCCCCCCTCCCCTCCACTCCCTGGCCCCGCAGGCGGGCAGCAGGGCCCAGCCTGGCCTTGTCTGGCCATGTTTGGCCATGCCTGGCCTGGCCTGGCTTGGTTTGGCCTGGGCAGGGGGCTGGCAGCCTGCGGCTTGGGCGTGGGGAGCTCCACGCCGGGAGAGTCACGTAAGCGGGCGCGGGGCCAGGGCCTGGCTGGAAAGCAGGGGCTGGCCGCTGGGCAGCCCGGATGCCTGGGCTCTGCGGCTGGCTGGTGGGGGGGAGTGGTTGGTGGGGGGGGGGTGCGACAATTGGGTTCATTCCCAGTGGAAGGAGCTTCCAACGGCCGTGGGACTGGGAGCCCGGACGCCTGGGCTCTCCAGAGGCTAGACAGGGGGGGGGGCAACCCCCTGCTCCTGCCATAGCCACAACGCCGCCCCCCCCAGCTCTAACCACTCAACTCCACGCCTCTCCCCGAGCCAGCCACAGAACCCAGGTATCCGGGCCCCCAACCCACCACTTCCCTGGTGTGTGTTTGGGCTCCGTCCAGGCTAGGCCCTTCAAGCCCCAGCTCCTGGAGTCCTGGGATGGGGGTCGGGGTGGAAGGGGGGGTACCATGGCTTGTGGGCAGCAGCCCTGGGGGTAGGGAGAGACGCAGCCCTCCCCCATGTCCCCCCTCACCCCATTGCTGGGGCCCAGCCCAACCTGGCATGGAGCTGGCAGCATGAAGCTTGGGGAGTCTTGGCTGGAGGGGGGGATCAGGTGTAGGACCCCGGCAGGGGCCTCTGGGGTGTGGCGGGGGCTGAGGAATGGCTGATTGCAGCAGCTCCCAGCCCCCCCTTCTCCCCTCCCCATGTTTTCTTTGCTGCGGCAGCTGCTAATGGGGCTGATGGGGAGGGGGGCCGGCCGGGGCCCCCGGGGGGG